CGGAATTCTGCAACTTGTTGCGCCCCGCGAGCTCGTAAAGCGATCAACGTTGTAGATTCGATAGGCAGGCATACCGGCTCTCGAAATATCATTTCGATACGTTATTTCGATTAACGGCTGTCTTTGTCCGGCGATATTTCGATTTAACAAACGAGACTCTTCGCCACTATGATGTAACGTAACGACGAGACTGATTAACTATCTTGTTAGATAATTGTTATATTTAATTCTTCGTGATTTTTATTTTCCTGCAATTTTGGTACGATTATTTTTTTCTGAAAGCGGGGGCGAGGGGGAGATACTGACACGCTCGAATTACTCGGAATTTGAAGAGAGTAACAATTAAATAATAATTTATAAATACATCACGTATCGCGTATGATATCACATATATCGTAAATTATAAATCAGGTGTCTATTATATTACGTATCACATATCGTAAATTACTCATTATGTATCAGGTATCAGGTATCGTGTATCAGATATCATATATCGTACATTATGTACCAGGTATCATGTATTAGATATCATATATCCTACATTATGTATCAGATATCAGGTATAATAGATCAGGTATCATATATCGTACATTATGTACCAGGTATCATGTATCAGATATCATATATCGTACATTATGTATCAGGTATCATGTATCAGACATCATATGTCGTACATTATGTATCAGGTATCATGTATCAGATATCATATATCGTACATTATGTATCAGATATCATATATCGTACATTATGTATCAGATATCATATATCGTACATTATGTATCAGATATCATATATCGTACATTATGTATCAGATATCATATATCGTACATTATGTATCAGATATCATATATCGTACATTATGTATCAGATATCATATATCGTACATTATGTATCAGGTATCATGTATCAGATATCATATACCGTACATTATGTATGATGTATCGTGTATCATATTTCGTATATAGTAAATCATATATCATTACCATGTATTATATATGAAATATAATGTATATATCATATGTCATGCATATCACATATATAACATCTATCATCTGTCACACATAACATTATTTATGCTTTGAATCATTGCATAAATATATATATATACTATAAATATTTATTCCAACGAATTATAAGAACGAAAATAACAATAAAATTTGATAACTAATAGCTGTTAATCGAATATACCATATATTTAATCGTTGAATCACTTCTCCTGGATATTTGAAAAAAAAGGGAAAAACTCAAACAAAGTACAAATTCTTCAATCAGAACAAGAATAATATCAAATTATTGAGGAGATTCTACCATCAATTGAAAATCACAATCAAATCAAAACAACGGAAATGAATGCACATGTTTTCGACGAAAATATGCACGCGTGCATATCGATGGAAAAATCACGCGAAATCGTCGGGGCAACGCGCCAGTCAAACGCCAACGTTCGCTCTTTTAACAATCGTCGCCCCTGTTAATTATTAATTCATTCGCGTGTTTAATTATTGACTGCCGAAAGTAATTAAATTTGTCTCGGGCGAACGTTCGCGGCGGGTCTCGGGCAAACATTAGTGGGCACCGTTCATGTAGCTACGTAATTATTGAAAACCGTAAACAGAATAATTAGAGCAGGGAACGTGCGCGTGCTTGTGTAAATCTCCGGCTATAATATTTCAATTCCGTTGTTTTAATAAAACGTTACTGAATAATACATGCTCTACGCACGCTCTGTCGCAGTGTGCACGGTAATTTTCGTCAACGAAAATGGCAAGCGAGATTTTTCTTTCTCACTTCCCGAACAGATATGTTTGTTTGTTTATTTTTATTTCTTTCTCAAGTGATATCTTGATTTGTCTTTTTCTTCAAACATTTTTGCAAATAAACAAACATTAAAAAATGGTTTTCGTCGTGCGCGAATTTATATTTACACACCTGTAGTTAAACTGTGAATTTTGATCAATTTCTTGTTGATAAATATATTTACGAAATATTGATATAATAATTGTTCTAAAGAAGAGTCATTGCAATTGAAATATTAAGGTTGTCGAAGATCATTAAATGATCAATTAAGTTTCTGAAATTTTAATCGAGATTATTATTATTATTATTATTATTATTCATATAATATATTATTATTATTATTATTCATATAATATATTATTATTATTATTATTCATATAATCAAGGTTATTATTATTAATATATTATTATTATTATTATTATTCATAGAATCAAGATTGAGAATTTTACTATTTTTAAACCATTAAACGTTACTGAATTATCTATAAAAAAATTTATTAAAAATTACTTTTTCAAGATTGTCAAACGTGCAGAGTTATGAAATTCTGCTAACTTTTTATGAAATCGCGTTTTACACACTCTCTCCCCCAAATAAAAGCTTAATAAAAAATTTTTGAGACAAAGCGCGCTGCATTAAATGATCCCTTTTATTCAATTTTCACGTGCAGTATGCAGAAATAAAGGAACATAAGACTTTCAGTTACATTCAGTTAACCATTCTTGCTTCTATAAATGAAAGTTACTGTAAACAAAGTGTATAAACAGGTTTATACAAATTTTAATATACAGCGTAAATTTTAATATACGGACAAAACAGCTTTTAACCACGTTTCAATAGATCATTATGTTACTTTGAATGAATTTCCACTATTTCATAGAAATAATTGATCTAGTATAATTTAATATCCATCATAATGTTTATTTATCATAATATTCTTCGTAGAATGTTCGTTGAAAATATGAATAAATTTTCTTCAATATTTTTCGTAGGATGCCGACAATCAGCAAAAATTTGAACGAATTATTATGCTATAAAAATACCGATCTGTTTTATCATACCTCGTGGAATATTCAGGGAAAATTTGAATAAATTTCCACCGTTCTATGAAAATATTGATCTATTTTATTATCTGCTTAACAATCTCCATAGAATATTCAATACGAATTTGAATAAATTTCGTCCAACGATCATCGCATATTTCTTACAGAATATCCGCACAATCAGCAGAAGTTTTTCCTACGAAAAAGTCGATTTATCTCAAATTAATTACCGTTTCCTCGTCGAACGTTTGAACGAATTTCTACGAGAGAAATTGACTTACATTTCGAGATCTTTCATGAAATATCGATTTTTTTACAATTTATAATAATATATATAATATGTATAATAATATATATAATTTATAATAATAATATAATTTATAATTGAGTAATATTCCTCGTGAAACATTTGAAACATTGTTCTACAGAAAGATCGATCTACCTCATAGCGTTCGACATTACTCGCGAATAAAAGAACGAAGCAACAACGAATGAATGCTAACGAATCGGCGGTAAGGAATTCGAATAAATTTCCGGCAACGGCTCGGTAAAATTGAACAAATCGCTAGAGGGGTGGAAAATTTTGCGAAACGCGCCATAGCCTCGAACGACGCCGAAGCTGTCGAACATGTATGAGAATATTTCATAGCGGTAATTAGAGCGTGCATCCGAGGTTTTAATTAAAGAGCGAACGATGAAAAGAAAAAAAAAAAAAAAAAAAAAAA